CTGAGCCCTTGCCCATGTAATTACGCAATACGTCAAAAGCGCCAACATTTTTTTGGCTGAGTGCTACAGAGGTTGCTGCATTCATTTTTTAATCTTTTTTTTTCTAAAATAAAGAATAACTCTAGGTTAGCATATAGAGTGATATGTTGCTCGCCTCAATCAGATCGCCGCATAAGGGTATGTCTCTCGCACCAATCAGATTGCCGCGTTAGGGTATGTATTTCGCACCAGTCAGATTGCCTCATTAAAGTGTCTATCTTTCACCAATCATACAACAGCTTTTGAATATCTGGCACCAACCACAGCGTTTGGGTATTGTTTTCTTGTATATGATGTCATGGATCAGGAGGCTGTGCACAAAGAATGACATTAACCAGAAATTTCGGCCTCGTTTGTTGGGTGTAATGGCTTGTGGCCTTCGTGAGAGCCTCGTCGATTAAGGTCGAGATTTATCGGGATATGAAAGGTTCATATTAAATGTTTAATTTAAAATGTGTTTATTCCGCCCCTTTGCTCACAACGCACACGCCAAACAACTAACATTCAAACACGTACCATGAAAACAACGTTCAAAGTCCAATCCGAACATACTCAATCATTGCACTACATGATTATTAGGCAATTTTTCAAGTGCTTGAATATTGCTTTCTACCAATCAAATTTCGTTTTGTCACTTTAGACTTCGCATTATCCGAGTTATTCGACACCGCTGAAAAAAATTCACACGAAACTTAACGCTACTGATAGTGAATTTCCAACGCATTCTCCCGCGTTTTGACTTTTTCCACGAATAAAATTCGCTTTTAGCTGCCTTGGAATTAACCCAATTGTGTGTTAATTCCCAGTAAACAACCTGCATTTTATTACGTATTTCACACACAGAGGGCAAAGTCCAGAGAGGCACCAACTAATCAAGGCGCCCTCTTTAAAATATCCTTTTCTCTTGCTCAGTGTATCTTCCCTCATACGAGATAGCGATACATCTTTGGTTGGGGTCTATTGGAGATACAACAGTTTCCTTCCGCTTTTCGCTGTAAACTTACGTGGAATAAACTTTTTAGGCAACTAACTGTAGAGTAGACGAATAATTTTGATTTTCTTTCTGTTAGAGGAACAGCAGTAAGCATAGTCTCTTTCGCAACCGTTCTTTGTTCTCGTCAAGCAATAGATCTCTCTCCAACGGGGAATTGAGGGCGCTGTGTGACGAGACCAAACAACGGCTGTGAAGGAGACTACAGTAAGCGTGGCTCCGATGTATCAAATTTTGCTCAGAAGTAGTTGGACAATAGAGACAATAGACCACAAAATACCTGTGTGAGTTTAGATAAATTATGTTTTTCCTCTTTCTCTCGAAGTGAAGTAATGAGACATTTTTGTTCTTTTGCAAGTTATGAAAATATTAGAAACACAAATTGTCCCATTTCGACCTATCCGGCTAAAATATTAACTCTTGCATGCCACACCATGATGCCTATGTTTTCTTTTTCCCACATGAATGTCTTTAGAGGGTGAGCTGTGATGAATTCAGTACATTTCCTTACTTCCCAAAGTAAAAGAAACACTGTCGATTTTTTTTCGCTAGAAAACCAGACGGAGCTACAAGAAATGAGAGCTCGTTTATCTAACTTACAGGAACAGCTCAGGGAGAAAGATGACAAGTTGCGAGAGAAAGAAGGGATAAATCTAAGCCTCCAAGCTCGCTTGAATACAAAAAACCAACAACTGGAGGAGAAAATTAGACAGGAAGAGAATTTATACCAAAAACTGCGAGCAGTGGAAGAGCAGATTTCACAATCTCAAGCACAACTCAGGGAGAAAGAGTTGGAAAAGGCCAAAATGTTAAAGGAAAGAGATCGCCTAAATGGAAACCTGCGTGCGATGCATCAGCAACTGACAAACTCCGGATTTTCAGAGTTTCTGAAGACCAAAATGCAGGAGCAACTCGAGAGAAAAGAGCAACAATTAGTTGAATCGGAATTGCGATTAAGGGAATTGAATCAGCAGCTGAGAGATCTTCAAGTTCAGATCAGAGAGAAAGACAGAGCAACTGTTGCTTTGCGAGAACGATTTGGCGAGCTAGAAGAGCAGCTGGCAACAAAAGAGCAAGAAAAGAATGAACTGGAGAGAAGCCTTTCAACAGCTCAGCAGATATTACGTGATAATCAGGCTCAAAGATCACCAGACTGGGTTATTCCTCGTACTCAAATTCAGCTGACGACCAAATCCCTCAATAAAGGTGCCTGGGGAGAGGTTGTCCAAGGAAGGTTTTGTGGTTGTGTCGTTGCCGTAAAGACGATACATAATTTGATTCTATCCGATCACAACCGCAGGTTGTTTGAACGAGAAATGGACATTGCCTCGAGATGTCGACACCCTTGTTTATTGCAATTCATCGGAGCAACAAACGACGACCGCACACCTTTGTCTCTTACAGAGGTCATGGAAACAAGCTTGCGAGCAGTGTTAGAGGAACGATCTCTTTCTCAGACAGAAATCACCGTTATTGCTCTGGATGTGGCTCGAGGACTAAACTACCTCCACCAAAAACACCCCATCCCTATTCTACACCGTGACATCAGCAGTGCAAATGTGTTGCTCTGGAGACAAGGTACTCAGTGGCGAGCTAAAGTGTCAGATTATGGCACTGCTAATTTCAAGAAACAGACCATGACAGTTGCACCTGGGACTCCAATCTACAGTGCACCTGAAGCACACGCTACAAATCAAACAGTCCAGGTTAGCTCAGATTGACGATCTAACCGCACTTTTTTGTCTCGATGAGATTATTCGTGTTTTTATTTCCAATTTACCTTAAGACGTCGTAACATTTTGATGGAGAATAATATTAAAGCCTCCTTTCTCTGGAATTGGACATTTCCTTCACGGTTAGTTCTCTGCTTTACGATGGCCGCCTTATTTACCTCAGTTTTGGAACTAAATCTTTCCAAACTTGAACTACCGGTCGAAAAATTGCCCTCCCCTTATAGAAATGGTGCTCTTATATGTAAATGACAGTTTGCAAAAGTAAGAATCAGAGGTATCTCACTAATTCATAGCTTGCTCGATAAAGGGTAATTGACCTCGCTGTGAAAAGTACTAAACAGTGACGATTATTGGCCTAATCCTTTTTAACCTTAATAGAGGCTCAAAGACACTTTAAAGTGAGAAAGGAAACAATATTTGAATGTTTTTTCCTCCCTCACTTTAAAGTGGAAGAGGGGATTTCCTAGGAAAAGACTAAAATCGAATCATTTCTGTAACTGCATTCGCCATTAAAAGCGCTGGTTTCATGAGATTCTCATGCAGCAAGACTTAAATTATTCATATTCCGCCTATTCTGGGGATTTTCCCACAATAGCCTTAAAAGCATGCGCGTTATTGCATCTCTCCATGCTGTCATTTATTTTTTCATTTTATGTGGTCAGGTTGATGTCTACAGTTTTGGTGTACTTCTTTGTGAGATGTCCATCCGTGAATTACCAGATCCTGAAAGACGAGAACAACAAGTAGCAATGGTGGCAAACAACGTGCTTCGAGCTCTTATCCGTGGATGTTTGGAAACAGACCCTCAAGTCAGACCAACTATGGAAGAAATAATTAGTGAAATAGAACCGGAAGCGCAAGGCACCTTTTGATAGAGTTTGTTAATCAACCTCAAACATATTGTTGTCTGTGTGGTTTGCAGTATTGCTACTGTACCGGACGATCACATAGAAGATCCTGCAAATCTTTCCCGATGTAACTTAAGTGCGCGGATGTATCTTCCGAAAACCTTGTAAACTTTTTCTGTCTAGGCATGTTCAGCTTTCCATTATTCCTTACCTAGGTAGTTACACGTAAGGATTGAGATGAAAGCGTCCGTTTAGTGTGTATCAAGCGGAAGCGTAAAGGAAAGAAGACACAGTCCGATACAACCAAGAGGGAGTCATCAAGAGTCCATTTTCAGGCAACTGCTTTAATCGATAAAATCAGGCTTGGCATGGAATTGCACGACTGAGCCTTCTCAGTGTAAATCATCAATCTTATTGTCAGACTTATTAATCGTCTGCGAATGTAATAACATACCATTATGACTTTCTTACTTAACGTTTCATTACAAAACTTTTAACCATCGATAGAAGTTTTTATTACGATATTTGTAGTGTGTTGGTTTGGTTGGACTTAATACAGCTATCATTTTGAATTTTTTGTTTTTGTTTTTCACGTGTTCTGGTCGTTTGGGTGAGAGTGGTCCTGAAAGAATTGCTCTTGGTGACAAGGAATGACATTTAACAGGCTGAGTGGGAGACTCTGATGATGACTTCCACTCAGGGTGTCGAAATGACGGTAACGTCCACTGGAAAAGATCCTTTTAGGTCTTCTCTAACCTATTCCTTCTAGGTTCAGATCATTTACAGTAAAAATACCTCACGACGTTATGCGACTCAGGTTTTCCTGAAAAGTGACAGTAATGATACTTCTAACCAAAATTGACAATTGTTTTTACTTATGCCTTGTTACTGACCAAATTTCCACAATAAGTCCACAACAAGTAAGACCCTGATCTAAGCGTTCAAAGTAACAAATCAGTAGAGACATGATCCTTGCAAGCAAGCATCAGTAAAGAAATTCCAGAAAAGAAGTTTGCAAAATTTAGACTTCGACAGGATTCGAACCCGTACACTTCCGGGCGCTGTAACCAATTGAGCTGCGGAGCCTCAGGTTGGAATTATTGCAAATTCTTCTGGGATTGTTATTCCTCTAGAGAATTATAATTAAATGAAATAAGTAATATTTTTATCCGAGGATGGAATACAAGGTAAAGAAATAATCTTTGCAGGTAAGCTGCAGTTAAAGAAATTGCAAAATGAAAGCTCTTCCCCTCGTCCTATCCACAAAATTTCTGTGGTCTTCCCTTAAAAATAAGTAGAACTTAGAATTTCACAGCTTTCTTATTTACTCCTAGCTTTTAAAGTGGCTATATCTTATTTCCTTCAGTTCTATGAGCACTTATGTTGTCAATTTTGATCCTCATCTGTAAAAGATCGTCCTTTTTTTGTCAGTTGTTGCTTGGGGAAAGCAATATTTTCAGTTCTTCGCCTTTGGATCTTTATGAAATATTCTAACTTCTTTACGATCGCTACAAAGAAATTATTTTCCATTTTTCTTGAAAACTAATTAATTTATCATTGGTGTTTTCCGGTAAACGGTATATGCTATGGGTGACGCATGGGAACTTTTAGTTAGTGCCTTCAAAAGTCCAGCAGTACTCTAGCCCGGCAACTGGTACTCTGTTTCCTTAACGCTCGAGACGTCACAGTCCCAGGGGCTAACTGTGTACCGAAGAGTAGTTGAGCTTGTTCTTGTGAGGGAAACAAAACTTAATAAGATGGCAGCTCTGCAAGGTTAACCTTGAGATCGACCCAGACGTAAAACCAAAGACCTCAGTCGTCAGCAAAGGTATCAGGCTCGTATCAAAGTGATCTCACATGATAACCACCTGCTAAGAAGCGAAGAAATCCCAGTTTGTAATGATAAGCCTGGCACGACATAAAGTATGTACAAATCATCTAACACATTTTTTACACAATTAAGTTAAAGTGTAAAAAGGAATCAGTCCACTTTCGAAACTGAAACTTAAAAGTTAAATTACTGTGCATGTTAACTAAATGCCCAAATATTGAGTTTAATGCCAACTTCCTCTGTGCCCAAACTTAGAGTTTAACGCTTCCTTCCTCTGAGTTTCGCGTCCTTTATATCGCAAAACAACCAACAAATTTTGCGCTATTTCCAGTACTCGCAGTGCTCGTAAGTTTGATTTTCCTTGGTAGTAGGGGCGGCCGTTTTTGGAATATCGATTACTCTAGACTTATTCAACCGTAACTAGTAGTAATGTCGCGATATGATTGGCCAATTTGCCGTTGTCGATGTGAGTAAAGACAACGCCGCTCGCGTCAACTTGTCACGTAATGGTCACGCACCAAAGGAATCCTTTTATTTGACGTCGATATTGTGGCCACTGAGATGACGATTAACGTTGATGATAAGAGAACAGACCATGTTAAACCACTGCCGAGTTGTTAAAATATTGAAAAGGAAGATTTCTTTCGTCTGCTTCAAATCACTTTCTTCCCAGAATACTTTTAAATAAAGCGAGACATTTTTCATAGTAATAATTAGAGGATTGCAGAACATCTCTTTTTGATATGAAAACTTAATGAATCCTGAAGAAAGTAAGTTGTTTCGATATGATTGTCCAACGGTCAAGTCATCACGGGCGAAGTTAATGATTAAAAATTAAAGCTTCCACAGTGATTGAAAAGGGCCCTTTACCGAGACACCAGAAAAGAGGGTTGATTTGGCCTTCGTACGTACTGTAGTTGTTTTATGTCGACAGAAAATTGTAAATTATATCCTGGATTTCTAATAAACATTTTTAACAAGAGCTAACATAGAGTACTAACATATAGAGTACTTCATATTCAGCATATCATTTTAGTTGAAGTCAAACTTTAAAGCCACCAACTTTATAATAGGAGGTTTTTCTCCAAGTGTTTACCACACACCTAGCACCCACCTGCTCTCCTTCCAGCCCTTAGGCCTATGACTGAGAATGGATTTCCACACTTGTTGAAGCAAACAAGCATCCCTAATTCACACGACTACTAACGCTGGCGACGGAGAGCACTATAAGACTGCATGAAACCCTTCACGTCAAGAGTAAAAATTCAATTCGGTATGGCGTTTGCAGATTCAGCCAAGTAGCTGACTTGGTGGAGCTTTACTGTGACAGCTGATGTCGTAAAAGATCGCCGTCCGCGCCAGGGGACTAGCCAGGATATTTTAAAGGGAGGAACGGGTCACCATGTGTAAAAGAGAGGGTACTTACCAGATTGCCCTGTCGACCTCCAAGCCGTGTTTTACTCAATGTGATAAAAAAAGACTTAAAAACGGGGGTGGGGGGGAGGGGGAGGTCACAGGCATCCCAGAACTCCCTCCCTCCCTCCCCCTTGCCAGTTACGTCCTCGTATCCGGTTCCCAGGAAGCGGAAAGCAACTCGCTTTTGGTGTTTCCAAATTTCACGATAACTGATTAGGTACGAGGCCGAGTGGAAGAGGTTTTTTTTAGCATTCTAAGATACTACTTAATTTATCTGTATCGATCAACAGTATATTCATTCTTATTTGCTTTCCGTTTCCCTTGGAGCGACAGATCACTTCGTGATCAGTTCTTGGCAAACTTTAAAATCAGCGTATTTGCTGTTGTTCCATAAGGCAACTAAATTGAGTTTTTAACTTTTCATTTTGTGTAAATACGTAAGTGTTTCAGCTCCACTCTAAATAATATCAGGTAGGCTTGATGGTGAGCCTTCTCAAGCAATTTTTAGAGTGTCGGGGTCTGGTAAATAAAGGAACTAAACCGGCTTCTAAAATTTACTTCTCATGATTCGATTGAGGAATGGTGTGGGTATAAGTGTTAACATTCTTCGTGTTTCTTTCGGTTTTAAACCTACGGAAACCGCGGCATGACAATTTTGAACAAGAATAGCTTTCGTTAGATTACCTGCAGAAACATTTCGGGATCTTTCAAATTTTTCAATTTTTTTAAATTTCCCCGTTCACTCATCCGCCGACTTGGTTAGCACTGCCCGTAAACGAGCCCATAGTGCAGTGTGATGATCCTAGAGTGCAATACGCTCGTGGTATCTGCGGAACGTCATTCGCTCAGTGCTAACTACAGCAAAACACAACTGGGGAGACACTATATCGAAGGCGTTCGTCGAGGGTAAGAGTACGCGGTAATTTTGGTCAGCGGGAAAATTATGAAACCCGCGAATATTGCGAAAGCCCGCGAAAGGATGACATCTAAAAACTGAAGACAATTTTTTATTAAGACACTAGAATGCGTAATGATGGCGGCGACTAATCATTCTTCTTTAAATAAATCGGAGATTGACTTCCTTGAGGAAAACCTTGAAAATTGTTCTGTTGAAAACCGGTACTTCTTGGGTTATTTCGACGGGAAAAGAGACGAGTTCCACATGCTTTGTAAAGAAGGCCTTGCAATCAAAGGAGTTAAATCACAAGAAGTTTTCGAAAAATGGTGGGCAGTTTCTTTTATTTTTGGCTGATTTTTTTGCCTTTATCAATATGGTGTGGGCCTTCTGGAGACTTGATCTTTTGCCGCAATTTTGTAAAAACTTACGCAATGCACCGGGCGTAAAAGTGTTGAAATATTTAAAAGTATTTCATATATAGGAAAGCCCTTGGAAAACACTCTAAGTGCCTAATCCAGTATACCGAAATACTTTTTCAAATTATGCATTTGCAGCGTCTCCCGTCTTTGAACACAATGGTGGTAGTGTACCGATCCAATTTTTTGGCAAACCGTTTACCATCGTAAGCGATGAAACTCGGCATTGCCTCTACGGACCAACAAAGATGAGAATTCCTTTTGAAAACAGAGTTTGAAATATAATGAAACATACCA